TTTTCGCAATTATGAGTTTATATCTCGCAATTCAGATTTTTTCGCAATTATGAGTTTATATCTCGCAATTCAGATTTTTTTCGCAATTATGAGTTTATATCTCGCAATTCAGATTTTTCGCAATTATTAGTTTATATCTCGCAATTCAGATTTTTCGCAATTATGAGTTTATATCTCGCAATTCAGATTTTTTGCAATTATGAGTTTATATCTCGCAATTCAGATTTTTTCGAAATTATGAGTTTATATCTCGCAATTCAGATTTTTCGCAATTATGAGTTTATATCTCGCAATTCAGATTTTTCGCAATTATGAGTTTATATCTAGCAATTCAGATTTTTTTCGCAATTATAAGTTTATATCTCGCAATTCAGATTTTTTTCGCAATTATGAGTTTATATCTCGCAATTCAGATTTTTCGCAATTATGAGTTTATATCTCGCAATTCAGATTTTTTCGCAATTATGAGTTTATATCTCGCAATTCAGATTTTTTCACAATGAGTTTATAACTCGCAATTCAGATTTTTTCGCAATTATGAATTTATATCTCACAATTCAGATTTTTCGCAATTCCGAGTTTTTATCTCGCAATTCAGATTTTTTCGCAATTATTAGTTTATATCTCGCAATTCAGATTTTTTCGCAATTATGAGTTTATATCTCGCAATTCAGATTTTTTTCATGCAATTATGAGTTTATATCTCGCAATTCAGATTTTTTTCACAATTCTGAGTTTATATCTATTTTTTTCTCTAAATTCTGAAATATAAACTCACAAGTCACAATTACCTTTTTTTATTTTAAATTCTCTGAGGGAAACAAGATTTTTGTGATAATTTTTACTCTTCTACTATGTCTATTTACTTCTACTGCTATCTAGTCAAAGTTATTCTCATTTTCTTGTTGAATGGACAATTTAAATATATATATATATATATTTTTTTTTTTTAAATACTTATAAAGATGACTAAGAGTTCTTTATTATCATTGACAAAAGTTCATATTTAATCTTAATTTTCCAACAGGTATGTTGAACTGCTGAAGGAAGTGAAACCCAAACTGCAATGGGATGAAAACACTGGAGAACATTTCTTCAATTACAAAAGGTTAAACACTCGTATATAAACGTATCCTGGTGCATTTGGTTCACAAAGCTTTCTTAAAGCTTGTAATCTGATTAAACACAATAAGATGCTAAGTATACAATTCTGATTGTCAAAAGATGCTTATTGTCATGATTCACATATTTTGGTTGCAGTAAAATAAAACATTTAGATATTATTACATTATATATTTATTATAACAATCTTTCTTTTGTTTCAGGAATAACGGATTGAAGCATGTTGTTTACTATCCCACTTTAAAGGTAACTGGGATAATAGTGCCATAATATCAAAGTGAATTGTGGGTATTATTCAGTTCTGGCTCTTTTTCTCCTCTAGTTTCTCCAGCTTCGTATCGCTTTGGCAACTGAACTGGGAACAGGAATTTCCATGTGGGAATTGGGACAAGGACTGGACTATTTCTATGAGCTTTTGTGACCTGTGATCTGACTTACATCTCCTTCCAAATAATAAAGTGTGATTTATCAAAGCACTTTGTGATATTTATGACGATACTGTTGCTGAGCATGCCAATAAAATTATTTTTTAATGACATGTTATCAAGTGCATTCTTAACAGAGAACCAGTATTTTAATGCAATTTATTTTATTCAGGAATACAATTTTTATTAAATCCATTGGTACAGATTTGTTTTTTTCATACTGCATTTTTTTGTAATACTGCACATTACATATGTGATTCCTTTTGTGGAGCAAATCAAAACATTACAGCAGTTAAAAAGATAAAGTAAAACAGTTGTTCATTCTTGATTCGTTGTTCCTTCCTCTTCACACACCATAGATCTGCACACGTGATATGAAAAAACCACAGTATTTCCTGTGTTAAACTCCCCATCTTACACTTTAAAAGGAATGTTGAAAACAAATCGAGCTTTACCAACAACACTTTCAATAAACAAAAGAATATAATTGATAATCACGTTAACAATAAGAATGACTGTATACTGAATACTTGCGTTCCAGGTGGGGGAAAGTATTTTATTACAGTGTAATGCTTTGATATCCATTTAAAGAACATGTTTAAATCTATAAATCGTCGTGTGCTCCTTTCAAGCATTCAAATTAAACATTCATATTTTGTAGACAGAACATGTAGGCCTACTTTAAGTCAGAAATGTCTCAAAAATGTGGTGTGAGAAATGCATTTGGAGTGAAGAGTGTATTTTTGTGGATACATGTGCTTAGTATCAGATTTGGTGAAGTTGGCTTGTTAATTCGTTCTCTTCTGAACAGCTGAAGCGTTTATCTGGAATTGCACAGAAGAATCAGGTTGTTGACGGCCGCTGATGTGGACTGCGTGTTCTGCCCAGTCACAAGATGGCGGTCCAGGACCACATGAACTGCGTCCTCGATGCTCGCTGTGAGGGACAAAATTAATTTATGCTTCACATACACAACACAAATGTAGTAAAAGGAATAGAGTACACTCAAAAAAGCTATTCTGGCATCATCTAACGTTACTAGGCAAGGGAAGGGCGAAATCCATTTCGGGATTTTAATCATTCTCATTTTGACGAACCGATGTCTAAACTGTTTTCAGTTTATTATGCCTGAACAAAACGTCACTAAATATTATTTGTAGCGTGCCTCGAATCCAATAAAGAGCTGTTTTGTTACTTACAATTTTATTATAAAAATTGAATTCCAACAATACAGTTTTGGCGCTCGTTATGTGACGTCACGTGACCTCAGTTCAAGCGGGAAGTGAATGGATCCTCTTCCAATTTACTAACATTACAAGTTGAAGTTACAGCACCAAATCAACATGAAACATCAGAAGGTAGGGCTATGTTGAAAACTACAGTACCAATTTATCACCTTTCGTTATCGATAAATGTGTGTTTCAACCGTGAAAAGAAAGCTTGTAATGTAAACAACGTCACACAACTTTACATTTACCTCATAAGAGCCATTCAATGTCCATTAACTCGTTAGTAAACTAGAAAAAATAACTATAGAAAGGAGCATTTTGATAAACATATGCACTGTATTACATATTTTTAACTTAACAGGTTTATTAATGGTTTGAATACGGCATAAAAAATGTATCAGCCACAAAAGTGTTGGTTTCAAAAAACGACAACAATAGCAATAAAAAGTTATTAGTATAAAGCTATTGTTATAAAAACTGCCTTATGTGCAATTTAAATGTTTTTATACAAATCAGTTGTTAATTCCTAACCTAATGTTACCAATAAAAAATAACATGATACTTTTCATAAGATAAGAATCAAATCAAATTGCAAGTTTGTGAATTTAAATCGAATGGTGAGATTTGTGTCCCAGTCCTTATTAATAACAACTTAAATTTGAGGTTTCACTCACACAAGACTTGAAATACGCCATGACTTTTATGGTGAAAGTAAGTCAAACAGGTTTAGAATGAAATGAATTTTCCCTTTAATAGATTTTGAAGAAACCCCACCTGTGTAAGATCCACCACTGTCTTTGATAAAATCCTCCACAATAAGCGGCAGGTTGGCAAATTCTGGAGAACGTACCAGCTCAAACACAGAGGGCTGTAAACAAACATCACATTGCATGAGCTATTCCTTCATCAATCCACAGTTTGTGGATTCACATGTCGTTATCACTCACCCCAGTCATGCTGTAGCCACTGAATATCCACTTGTGTTCCTCTGTAGCGCAGCAGAGAGCAGCTACGCCCTGTCCCACAGCACACACGGGCTCTGCAATCACACAGACGTCAACTAAACCCATCTCACAACTCTTGAGGATTTGAGATGCAAAGAGACACACTCACTTTGCTGAGAAACGAAGTGGGACAGGATTCGGGCGAGGGACCCGCTGTGGGCGAGATCATTCAGGGCTCCCGGACAGTCGGGAATCAACAACGCCTGATAGCGGGCACCTGAAACATCACACACATCCTAATTATTAGAAATGCACTTGTGCACTCAAGATTTTTTTTAAAAAAATCTGACAGATATCAGACCATCGATAGACTCGAGTTTGGCCGGGTTGGCGTAGGGTTTGACACTGAACTCTTGCACCCATCGGGCTGTGCTGTCATCCACGCCTGCAAAGTCGATTGTCTTCCCCTGTGAGACAAAAGTGTGACATCCAGCAAACTGAGGCTTATGTGGATGAATCAACATTCATGTGTAGATGATGCAGTGTGTGTTTCCTCACGCCAGGTGTCGCTGTCTGCACGTTAAACACTGAACTGCACAAATTGAAACACTGGTTGAACGATCGAGCTGAAACTCCTGCAGGGAAAACAATACACACTTTAATCCTTTACATTCATAATAAACAGAAAACGGTACAAAAGTATCAGTGTTTAAAGTTTAAAATTTAAAAATAGAAAAGTGTAATGATATTTTGTTTGATACTTTTTGAATTGAATTAGAATAGAAAATTGGAAATAAACAATGGCCAAAATACTAGATCTTTCCTGAGCCAAAATCAAATAAAAGAAATAGACAAAAATAAAAGACGCGTTTAAAATAATTTAATAACATAAACAAGAAAACGACATAAAATATATATGTATTTAAATAGCATGTAAATTGTATATTCGCGGGAAACGCTTGTGGCATTTTTGTAATTGTACACAAACTATGCGTGGTAACGTTCATTTGACGTGATGTTTGAGTCTCACCTGCAGATGCAGAACTGGCCACTATCAGACATGTAGGTTTAGATGTCATCATAGACGCTTATATCGACTAATTTACAGTTTTTTCTCCGTTTTTAGAGATTGTCCATTAACCAGCGATAGTGGCAATACAAACGTCAACAATAACCTACGAAGTGTAATAAATTAATTGAAATTACAATAAAAACAGGAACTAAGATCATTTGATCAGCTGCTTGTTTTGATGGGTCCGTTGGTATTAAAGCTCCGGGTAAAACATTTACTGGGTAAGTAGTTCCGACGTATGATATGCACATTTTCCAATCATTATTATTTTATGAATTATACAGAACATCTACAAACACAGTAAACAGGTTAAATATTACTGCCAACTCATGCAAATAAATTCATTTGAATGTTTTATTATTAGAACAAATATTACACACAAAGCATTTAGAAATTCATGTCATTTCAAGATTTCCATAATCATTGCCAATAATTACTTCTGTAACTGGAAAGTATGTTTAATAATAATGGAAGGCATGTGTTGTCAGAAACAAAACAATCGTTATTATTCAACTGATTTTATTTGTACTGCAAAATTCAAACTTGTAACAAATATTGCATCAATAATATTTGCTTGAAACAAGACAATGTAAAGTTCCCTTTCCAGAACGACTGCCCTGCAGCCAAGAAATATTGGCCCGCCATCATAATCATAATCATGACACACAACACATTAAAAGCACACAGTGACAGACAACACTTTTTTCAACTAGTGGACTATTTAAGGGCAGATGGAGCTGCCTCGAATGCACTGGAGGGAGGTTCACTCCTGAAAAGGTGTCCTGTGCTACACAATGTGGCTAACTGTCTAATCTAATTATGACAAATTATATATCGTTGGAAAGGTCTAAGACTTCTAAATAGATATTCTACCCCTGTTTTGTGTTACAAATTATGTAGGAGGAGTAATTGATGAATTTATGACAAGAGTGCACCTCAAAAAATCTGCATCATCAGTTTTGACCTTTGTCACAAAAAGTCGATGCACCCACTTTTAATCATTGAAACTTCTGTTATTATGCTAAAAGTTCATAATAAAACATATAATGTAGCATTTTTCAATAAAAAAAAATTATAGTATAATATTATCCTCTGAAAATGATATTTATATTTATTATCCTCTAAAATATAATATTTTTATCGCCTTTTTTATTATATCACATATTTTAGTAGTTATTATAAATTAGGGATCATTTTAAAGCTTACAAACTCAGAATTCATTGTGTGAAAAACTGTTTTATAATTGAATGTTGCGTTACCATAGAAACGGCACTTATTTTATCAGGCTCCTCCCCTTTTAGGCATCATGATATTTCATAATTTATGATCAAACCCTTTTCTAATCTTAACAAAACACATATTGTCAGAAAGGTCTGAGTCTCAAGGTTCCAAATTTTGTGACAGAAGTGATATTTGGACTGAAATGTATTAATTTGTTAAGGCAGAATGTATACAACTAAATTCAATGGAATTCAATGGCACCCGGTGGCTATTTTTGGTATTACGCCTAAACAAAATCTCATGGGAACTTAAATTTTTGTGATATCAACTTCAAATTTGGAACATAACTTGATAAGATTTATGGCTTTGATTTTTTAGTAATTTAGAGTAAAATATATTTGTAAAATATATATTTTATATAAAATAAAAAAATTATAGTACAGTATATTTGATTTACTGTCAATTTAAAATTCCATAACTTTTTCATACTTTCATTTTTTGAAGTGTTTTCTTTAAAACAAGACCAAACTTGGGTATATATTTCCAAAGCATTCTTAAATTACAACCATTTAAGCTTGAATAGTGCATTTTAACCCCCATTCTCAAAAAGGGGGGTGACAGCTAAGGGGTTAAAAACGATTGCTGTGTTGGCCCCGACTCTGACCCCCATCCCGAGGCATTTGAGCCAAATGCTGCTGCTGTGCGCCAGCGCTTGGAAGTGATGCGACCCTCCACCGTTTCGCGTTACATCTAAGTATTTTGCTGTCTATGGTCAGGTACTATTTATTTTAGTGGAAGGAATCAGCTGCTTCATCAGCTGCTCCTCTTTCTTGTGGGGTACCCCAGGGTTCAATCCTTGGCTCGATCTTGTTTTCTTTATATATGTGTTGCCGTTATGGAATAAATATATATAGGAAAGCACAGCTTTCATTGTTACGCCAATGATCTGCAGATTTATTTGGCATTAAAACCAAGTCCAGTCAAGTCACATTTATTTATTTATTTATTATTTCACAATACAGATTGTATCAAAACAGCTGCACAGTGATAACATGAAAGTAGTACAACACAGATCAATAATATTGTTAAATATTTATTATCCCCAACTAAGCAGGCCAAAAGCAAGGCGACAGTGGCAAGGAACCAAAACTTCATCAGATTGGATGGAGAAAAAAGCTTGGGAGAACCCAGGCTCAGTCGGGGGCCAGTTCTCCTCTGGCTTACATTCATATTGTTTATATATAAAACGGCGCCATAACATATCGCCGGCGTTGAGTCGTCTCTTCACAGGCGCTGGTCTTCTCAACACAGGCGTTGGGGCATCCGAAATCCCCGTGAGAGGCTGGATACAAAACTGGACCTGACGAACGCCATTTTTCTCGGGGCAAGCAGAAACAGCAGAAAGGCAGATGGGAAATAATTAGCATAGCTGATGTTCATAATGATTTCCATTATACAGGAGTTGGTGTTAGAAAACCACTATCTCATAAACTCTCCGTAATGCAACCATACGCACCGACCCGTTTGACTAAAGCTGTCGAGCCCCACTGTCGCGGTAATGCGTTTCAGTGGCAAACGGATCTGTAGGGCATAACAGAGGACTAAAAGGTAAGCAACAAAGGCTGTGATTTGGACTTTGACTTACTAGTCATCTGGTGCGTAACGTCTTGGAGATGTTGTCCGACAGCACAGCCGCTCCGATTCTGCTGGGGTGGAGTCCATCTGCGCGGTACAACCTGGGTCTCTCCCAAAACTGATGCCAATTATTTACAAAGCGCTGTTTCTGTTCATTTCACAATAACATTAACCATTCATTTAGTGCAAATAGTCTACTGAACACACTATGCAGTTTTCCATTTTTTTGTCAAACAGTATTTGTATTTAACGTTACTGTCTTTATGACATTATTATTACCTGTTCAGTAGGAAGGAAGCGCCGGACATCGAACAGGCACAGAAAAACTGAAGATGTCAAGTCACATTTATTGGGAAACCCAGGATCTGTCGGGGGCCACTTCTCCTCAGGCCATTGAATGCCTACCTACCTACCTACCTAACCTACCTACCCACCCACCTACCCACCAACCCACCCACCTATCCACCCACCCACCCACCTACCTACCAACCCACCCACCTACCTACCTACCTACCTACCTACCCACCTACCTACCTACCTACCTACCCACCTACCTACCAACCCACCCACCTACCTACCTACCCACCCACCTACCCACCCACCTATCCACCCACCCACCCACCTACCTACCAACCCACCCACCTACCTACCTACCTACCTACCCACCTACCTACCAACCCACCCACCTACCTACCTACCTACCCACCCACCTACCCACCCACCTATCCCACCCACCCACCTACCTACCAACCCACCCACCTACCTACCTACCTACCTACCTACCCACCTACCTACCTACCTACCTACCTACCCACCTACCTACCAACCCACCCACCTACCTACCTACCTACCCACCTACCTACCCACCCACCCACCCACCCACCTACCTAACCACCCACCCACCTACCTACCCACCTACCAGAACCCACCCACCCACCCACCTACCTAACCACCCACCTACCTACCTACCTAACCACCCACCCACCTACCTAACCATCCACCCACCTACCTAACCACCCACCTACCTACCCAACCACCCACCCACCTACCTAACCACCCACCCACCTACCTAACCATCCACCCACCTACCTAACCACCCACCTACCTACCTAACCACCCACCCACCTACCTAACCACCCACCCACCTACCCGAACCCACCCACCCACCCACCCACCCACCTACCTATCTAACCACCCACCCACCTACCTAACCACCCACCCACCCACCTACCTAACCACCCACCCTAGGTGGGTAGGTAGGTAGGTGGGTGGGTGGGTGGGTGGATAGGTGGGTGGGTTGGTGGGTAGGTGGGTGGGTAGGTAGGTAGGTAGGTAGGTAGGTAGGCATTCAATGGCCTGAGGAGAAGTGGCCCCCGACAGATCCTGGGTTTCCCAATAAATGTGACTTGACATCTTCAGAGTTTTTCTGTGCCTGTTCGATGTCCGGCGCTTCCTTCCAACTGAACAGGTAATAATAATGTCATAAAGACAGTAACGTTAAATACAAATACTGTTTGACAAAAAAATGGAAAACTGCATAGTGTGTTCAGTAGACTATTTGCACTAAATGAATGGTTAATGTTATTGTGTAATGAACAGAAACTGCTCTTTGTAAATAATTGGCATCTGTTTAAATAATTGGCACCTACCAATTAATGCCAATTATTACTAGTAATATAGTACTGATATAGAGCTATATATATATATATATATATATATATATAATATAGCTGATATAACTATATTAATCAATCTGATACTTGGACTTTCGTCCGATTGCCTCTGATGTGTGGCAATGTTTTGGGGCCCTTGGTGTCCACCGCAGCTTTGGCCTTCATCAGCTGAGAAAGAGAGAGAGAAACAGAAGAATAAGCATCAGCTGAAATCAAATTAAACAAACTTATTTATATCAGCTATGGTTACTAACATTTCTAACATGTTTACTTCTGAATATTATATTTTATTCACGGCCATCATTCGTAGTAGCCTATTCACAAACTGTTTTTCAAAATGTTTTCCCTCATACCATTTGTTGATGCATGTTTTCTTGCCGCTGCTCTTCCCAATCCCTCATGGGTAACAGAGTTGACTGCTTCGGCTTCGTGGGGGACAAATCCTGCTGAAATGAAAAATGAAGAAATAAACAGATAAATAGATATTCAATGTTTTTTGTGTTGTAAACGCCTCTTTAAAAATAAATCTCGCTCAAGTCTTGAGTAGCTAAACCATTTAGGGCTTTAAAATAATAATTTCGAACCCACTTGACCTGCTGTTTTTCACAGGCTAATTAACAAGAGCGGCGTGAGCATCCAAAATGTGTGCTATTGTGTTTCACAGAAGGGTTGGAAACATGATGAAGGCGAGAAAATGAGGAAGAAATTAGCTTTATAAAGTGTGAATTACGATCATACCTGTTTGTTGGTCTCTCCTCGTGGAAACCGTCTGCAGTGGTCTCGCCATTGCTGGACCTTTTCCCATTCTGGCTCCCAGCGTTCCCTCCTGAAATCCGATTCCAGCATCAGGATTCGCTGGCGGTTCTGCTGGTTTTCCTCCGCTATCTTGCATTCTTTCTGCAACTGAAGACAAACACTGTTATTATCATGCATTTCATCTACTCCACGTTACTTCATAACACATCACTGTAATCGGCAATAGTACTGTTACAGATATATATATATATATATATAATTTAGCTAATATAACTATATGAATTAATCAAATACCTGGACTTTCTTCCGATTGCCCGTGATATGTGGGAATGTTTTGGGGCCCTTGGTGTCCACCGCAGCTTTGGCCTTCATCAGCTGAGAAAGAGAGAGAGAGACAGAACAATAAGCATCAGGTGAAATCAAATTAAACAAACTTATTTATATCAGCTATGGTCACTAACATTTCTAACATGTTTACTTCTGAATATTATATTTTATTCACGGCCATCATTCGTAGTAGCCTATTCACAAACTGTTTTTCAAAATGTTTTCCCTAATACCTTTTGTTGATGCATGTTTTCTTGCCGCTGCTCCTCCCAATCCCTCATGGGTAACAGAGTTGACGGCTTTGTGGGGGACAAATCCTGCTGAAATTAAAAAAGAAGAAATAAACAGATAAATAGATATTCAATGTTTTTTGTGTTGTAAACGCCTCTTTAAAAATAAATCTCACTCAAGTCTTGAGTAGCTAAACCATTTAGGGCTTTAAAATAATAATTTCGAACCCACTTGACCTGCTGTTTTTCACAGGCTAATTAACAAGAGCGGCGTGAGCATCCAAAATGTGTGCTATTGTGTTTCACAGAAGGGTTGGAAACATGATGAAGGCGAGAAAATGAGGAAGAAATTAGCTTTATAAAGTGTGAATTACGATCATACCTGTTTGTTGGTCTCTCCTCGGGGAAACCGTCTGCAGTGGTCTCTCCATTGCTGCACCTTTCCCCATTCTGCCTCCCAGCGTTCCCTCCTGAAATCCGATTCCAGCATCAGGATTCGCTGGCGGTTCTGCTGGTTTTCCTCCGCTATCTTGCATTCTTTCTGCAACTGAAGACAAAACTCTGTTATTATCATGCATTTCATCTACTCCACGTTACTTCATAACACATCACTGTAATCGGCAATAGTACTGTTACAGATATATATATATATATATATAATTTAGCTAATATAACTATATGAATTAATCAAATACCTGGACTTTCTTCCGATTGCCTGTGATATGTGGGAATGTTTTGGGGCCCTTGGTGTCCACCGCAGCTTTGGCCTTCATCAGCTGAGAAAGAGAGAGAGAGACAGAACAATAAGCATCAGCTGAAATCAAATTAAACAAACTTATTTATATCAGCTATGGTTACTAACATTTCTAACATGTTTACTTCTGAATATTATTTTATTCAAGGCCATCATTCGCAGTAGCCTATTCACAAACTGTTTTTCAAAATGTTTTCCCTCATACCATTTGTTGATGCATGTTTTCTTGCCGCTGCTCTTCCCAATCCCTCATGGGTAACAGAGTTGACTGCTTCTGCTTTGTGGAGGACAAATCCTGCTGAAATGAAAAATGAAGAAATAAACAGATAAATATATATGGTACCTGTTTAATAAATAAATGATTTACAACTGCTAATCAACTATCCCTTTAAAATGGTGTACTATGTCAATCAAGTGTAACGTCATAACCACTTAGAATTTCCCATAAATGCTGTTTTTTTTATTTAATTAATCCCTTAATAAGCGATAAATGTTGCATAAAACCCCTTAATGTCTGGCAGGTTTGTGTTTTCACCGCCATTCTCCTTTTTAAGCCCCGCCCTACATTTTTTCTTGTTCGCGAAGCTGTTGTGTTGACAAATCTGGTCCCCCCTTGAAATCGGGTTGATTTTTATCTCGATAACTTAAGCCTTAAATGCTTTTTTTGTTGTAAACGCCTCTTTAAAAATAAAGCTCGGTCAAGTACTTACCATTTTACGGTCCCTCCTGTGATCTGACTCCTGCGTCATGATCGGCTGGTTGGTCCACTGCTTTCCCTGAGTCAGCTGTAGGAGCTCCTCCTTCTTTCTCTGTGTGTTTACACTGTAAAACCAGATATATAACATAACATAAATAACATTTTTATTACTTGTCAAATTAAATAGAGTATTTTTTTTAATGTTTTATTTCAAAATAATTTCTACATCTTGTTTAGATGTTTTATATATACACGAGACGCAGCTCAAATAAACACCTCGCTGAGTTACTATGTTAACCAGCTACACACTGACGTCTGAGCACACACACACACCTGAGCTGTGGGCGATGGTTCCTGTTGTCCTCCAGTCCTTTAGTGATCGCAGGAAGTTTTATGGCCATTCTCAACTGAAACAGAGACAGAACAACATCAATCAACATATAACTCATATAACTCAAACTGAATCTAAAAATTACAGGAACGTCTGCGTGTGTGTGTGTGTGTGTGTGTGTGTGTGATGGATTTCAGACTTGACTGGTGTCTTGCTACGGGTGCAGTGACGAGTTTGACGTTGTTTGGATTAGCTATAAATGCAAAATACACTACCGGTCAAAAGTCTTAGATCAGTATGTTTTTTAAAGTCTCTTCTGCTCACCAAGGCTGCTTTATTTGATGAAAAAATGACAAAACAGTAATATTGTGAAATATTATGACAATTTAAAATGACTGTTTTCTATTTTAATATATTTTAAAATGCAATTTGAAAGCTGAATTTTCAACATCATTACTGTTGCTGATTACACATCAGTTTTCAGTGTCACATGATCCTTCAGAAATCATTCTAATATGCTGATTTTATGCTCAAAAAACCTAAATTATTATTTTCAATGTTGAAAACAGTCGTGTACCATTTCCCCCCCCCAAAATTCTGTTGAAGAGAAACTTCAAAAGAACAGAATTTATTTAAAATATAATCTTTTCTAACATTATAAATGTCTTTACTGTAACTTTTGATCAATTTAACTCATCCTTGATGAATAAAAGTATTTTCTAATTTCTTTCCCCCCAAAATAAAAAATAAATTCTTATTGAATAGTAGTGATTAATGTTACAAAAGCTTTCCATTTCAGATCAATTCTGTTCTTTTGAACTTTCTAATCATCAAAGAATCCTGAAATAAAAATTGTTTTTATTTAAAAACTGTTTTCAACATGGATAATAATCATAAATGTTTCTTGAGCATCATATTATAATCATTTCTGTAGGATCATGTCACACTGAAGACTGGAGTAATGATGCTGTAAATTCAGATTTGATCACAGGAATAAATTGCACTTCACTATACATTCACATAGACCGCTGTTTTAAATTGTAATAATATTTCACAATATTACTGTTTTTTTGGGTATTTTTTATCAAATAATTGCTGCCTTGGTGAGCAGAAGATACTTCTTTTAAAAACATAAAAAATCTTACCGATATAAAACTTTTGACTGGTAGTGTATATCAGTAAATAACTATATAAGAAGCACTTAGAAGGTTGTGGTTCAAAAATAATCATTCTGACATAATAGTAACAATTATAGTAATAGTAACATAATAGTAATAGTAACACATAAAAACCAACAATTACTAAAACACACAAAAACTGATTTTGTTCGGGCATTTTGCACTAAATTAGTTAAATTTCACGCTATATCAAACATAACGTTACTAAAAAAAGCAATTATAACCACTTAAGTTACCTTGTCGTCGTCGGACAGGGTCCAGCTATTCTGATTAATACAGTTCACGGAAAGTTTCACAGATCGGTGGGTCATCTGCTTCTTCTTTCCTTGATGTTTGGAAGTTTCAGAGTTTGTTATAACAATATAAAACCGTGCAAGATTCACAAATTCAATGTTCTTCCAGAGTTCGTTATAACAATATAAAACCGTGCAAGATTCACAAATTCAATGTTCTTCCAAAGACGTTCGAAACCAAGCGGAGAGACAGTGAAGTTCAGCGGAGGCTACTATGATGTCACAGGGCAGTGCAGCGAGATGAAACCTTGGCAGACTGCCAAAAAAAAAAAAAAAAAGACCTTGGCAGACTGCCAACGCCTACGCACTAGTCTGCATCACATGACTTTTTCTACGTCACATCACATGACTGCGGCTACGTCACATCACTGCGTAAGCGTCACATAACTGAACTCAACTGCGCCCCCTAGAGAGCATGGGAGAAGATCGACATTCGACAAACGATCCTCCTAATGCTGGGATAGTGGGGTTTCCCTTTTTACTTCAGTGCATTATTTTTTTGCTTATATTCGGTGCATTTCACTGTGGACTATTCGGTAAATTTCGGCGCAGGCTTTGCCACAAACATGTAAGTAATAATAATCATGTTTATTCTAATGCATGCATGATCTGTGATTTCTGATAACGCTCAAGTTCAGACAGATTATCTTTCTCTCCAAATTTTTAATACTATTTATGCATCAGTAAATCAAGCCACTGACTAAACGATCAACTTCGCATCGTTTCTCTAGGATGAAAATATATTTTTTTAAAGTGAAGTTTGATTTCTGTCTTGCAGTTATGAAAACTATGTCACGCGTGACCTCCCCGGAGACGCCATCTTTGAGGGCATAACTGCTGTGTTTACAAAGTTTGATCAGAGAATGTCGTTTTATAAACAAATGTTTATTTCTGTTTATAATGCTACGCAAATCATGAAGAGACAAAGTGAAATAGATTATAAAGAGACTATTAAAACAAGACAGAGAGAGGTACAATGCGAACATTTCATTCTGGTGTGGATCCGTGCACTGTGTATAATTATTTATATATATATATATATACACACACACACACATGCATGTATATTGAAGAAAAAATATTCTTTATATATAAAATATTGATATTTATATATAATATAAATTATATATAAATCTATATCCAGTATATACATGAAAATATTTCTTAAATATATACAAGCATGTGTGTGTATCTATATATATAAAATAATTATACACAGTGCACCCACATATATTGTGTAAACACAAACTTTTATTTTGCATGCGATTAATCGCGATTAATCATTTGACAGCCCTAATTAGAACAAATATTACACACAAAGCATTTAGAAATTCATGTCATTTCAAGATTTCCATAATCATTGCCAATAATTACTTCTGTAACTGGAAAGTATGTTTAAAAATAATGGAAGGCATGTGTTGTCAGAAACAAAACAATTGTTACTATTCAACTGGTGTATTTGTACAAACATTGCATCAATAATCTTTGCTTAAACAAGACAATGTAAAGTTCCCTTTCCAGAACGACTGCCCTGCAGCCAAGAAATATTGACCCGCCATCATAATCATAATCATAACACACAACACATTAAAAGCACACAGTGACAGACAGCGATGAAGGCTTATTTGGTGTTGGTGGGAATAAAGAGTCTTTCTCTCAGTAGATTTCTTCTTTCAAACTTCGATACAGGCAGCAGGTAAAAATCATCCCAACAATCTGGAACAAACAGAAGGTCAAAGGTTAAAAAAAATACAACAGAGTAAAAATATTTGCTAGATTTATATTAGAGTTGTTCACCTGAATAAATGCAATCCCAAGACCCACTGAGCCCAAAATCAGCAGATGATGAAGAATAAACTCCTCTAGTTTGGATATACATCCACCCTGAGAGACATAAACAAGAGGTTAAAGGACAGATCTCAGTCAGCAGGGTCTCAAGATTTGCAAACATACGGAAAAAATCTCAATAGATTTCATTTTGGTCTCATATTGATCTTAATATGAAGTGAAAACATGTATAGGCCTAATTGCTGGTGTTATTGCTGTTATAGACCTTTCTCACAACTTCCGTATTTGTGACCGGAAATTCGCAATTGTCGTGGTAATCTTCTTCCGCTCCGGTCAGGACAGATAGCGCAGGCAACTAGTAAGAGTTGTTGCGTACCGATCTTTTTTGCTATTCCCAAAATCAGCCATTTCTGTCGTTTTCCTTCCCTGGTCAGTTCCCTGTTGATGAAGTTCGACGGAAATGGATTCAGGCTTGGATCAGGTTATTGATCCTGATCCATCTTTTGTACTTCTAAGCCGTCATTGTTTATGTTTATTACTAATGTATTATGATTTGTGTATTATGAAGTAACGTTAGTTCATTTTCAACTTTATTTGTATCCAGCGTAATAAAACATAAAAATATACACCACAATATAAAACTAGATAAATAAAAAACACACAACAGGCTACGCATAAATTTAAAATATACCATTCTGAGTATTTAACAATCTGATTGTACAAGGGATAAATTAGTATTTGTATAAATTGGTCTTCATCTTTGATAGTTCTATAGCAAGAGCAGTGCAAAAAAGGTCACTACCTAAGAGCATAACTGTTGAACAAAACTGACAGACTTCTTTTTTGACAGTTTATTGTAAATAAAAGTCCATAAATATTTAACCCTTATGCATCCTTATGGACATTTTTGTCCTTTTCAGTTTTGTTTTTTTGATCACTTTGCCTGTGTTAAAGCTAACTACAAAAAAAAAAATGGCACAGGTGTGTATTTTTATTGGAATTTTACTATTTCACCGTCATTTTCTTAAAAAAAATATTGTTTGCATTCGGTACAAAAAATACTCCCTCTTTTGCACCTTTTGGACAAAAATGTCCCCATTGAAACCCATTAAAACTGCAATTTTTAATCCCCGGTTCAGTTAACTATAAAATTATGCAATTTTTGTTAAGAGGCTTTCATTCTAAAGGCAAGGCTTCAAAATTTTATTTTTTTACTATTTTTTTTATCAGATGGTGCCATTTTTTTAAACAAATATTGCGTATTCAGCATATTATAGAGCCAACCTGATAAATTATGCAACGATATTTGTGTGGGTGTGTTGGTATGGATGTCAGAGTGTGGTTAGTATGTGTGTGTGTGTGCGCATGTGTGTGTTTGTAATACTGAGAGAGAAAAACTGCAAATTCAAATCCAATCAAATCCAATCACTGTGAGCTCCAGTGGGGTTTTGCTGCCACCCAATGGGGAAAATATGTTACTACGCCCAAACAAACTGTTACCAAAAGCTCAGTTTTTGAGATATCATCCTCAAATTTGGAACACAACCTACTTAGATTTATGGCTTTGATTTTATTGCAGTTTTGAGTTGAACCTGATTTATAAAATATATATTTTATATAAAATATTTTTTATAAATAATTTTCGTTTTATTTTTTTTTTGGATTTACTTATTATTATTATTTTTACTTCAGCAAAGGGTCTTCTTTAAAATGATACCAAACTTAAGTCTGTGCTCCGAAGCGTCACATTTTTATTTTAGTATTGATGCACAAGGGTTAATATAAGACATGCTGCTGTTGTATACATGAATTACCCATAGCAGATCTATACAGGTGGAGCTGGGGAAGATGGAGGGTTTCTGAAAGCGTACTACAACAGCAAACTCTGACCAGTATTTGAAAGTTGAGCAGCGAGCTCATTGGCTACTCATACAGCAGGAACCAATCAGCTGTGCCCCATAGAGAATGATGTGATCTGCCTGCGCTATCTAGATTTTCATGACAGAACTTCATATTTACCTCAACTTTGTAGATGTTGGATGGGTGATCTCTGAGTCCACAGTGGTCTGTGGGGGTCTTACAGCAGCTGTCGGGCACCAGGCGTCTGTCAGCACCAGGCGTCTGTCTCCAGGCCCCGTCCCCCCAGTCCGCTGAGCTGTTACTGCCACAACACTTCAGCTGCGGCGTCAAACAGATGGAGAGGGAGGGGGCACGGGAACGGGAACAAGAAAAGAGTTCATTCGACTTGTTTTCCCCATGGGCTTGTGGTGTCTGATGATGCTATGATGCATAAACTCATGCTCAGAGACTGAGAAATTGTGTTCAAAAGCCTTCATTGTCATGATACTGTAAGACTATAAAGTTCAAATCTGTTTAAAAGAGTTCATTCATTGTATTATTATAGTTAAAGAAAATTGTCACAGACCTAGAATGTGGGCTTGATGTGGCAAAGTTTAAAACAGAAGTTTCTAAGGTATTCTAGATGGTTGCCAGGTGGTTGCTAAGGTGTTCTGGGATGGTGTTATTATGACATGGCTAAGCAGCTGCTATAGAGTGCAACAGTGCTCGCTTTAAATCTTGAAATTAAAACTATTTCTTATGCTACATGTATGTTGCATCTTTGTTTAGATCATGATTAAAATGCAGTGGCTTTCAAATGGCAACAGATATGTTTGTGTCTAAGGCCAGTTTGGCCTTTAAAGGGTTAGTTCACCCAAAAATGAAAATTCTGTCAGTATTTACTCACCCTCATGTTGTTCAACCCCGTAAGACCTTCGTTCATCTTCGCAACACAAATTAAGATATTTAAGATATTAAGATCGCTCCTGTATACTAGTCCATAGGCTTCTTGAGGGAATGACTCGAAAAGTCATTAAAGACATCGTTAAAATAGTCCAAGTGACTACAGGGGCTCAATCTTAACTTTATCAAACGACGAGAACACTTTTTGTGTGCAAAAACAAACAAAAATAGCGACTTTATTTCAACTATTCACTTCCTTCTCCATGAGCCTGTAGTCAGTTAGCGTAGTGTGATTGCGTAAAGCTACGTCACACGAAGGCTCACTATTGGCCGACGCTGGTCATGTGTGTGATGCGTGTGACGTACAATAACAGAAGCTTACGCTATTAAACTAGTAACCTGACTCGCGCAGAGGGAGAAATAAACCAATAGTTGAAATAAAGTCGTTATTTTTGTTGTTTTTTTGTGTTCTCGTCGTTTGATAAAGTTAAGATTGAGCCCCTGTAGTCACTTGGACTATTTTAACGATGTCTTTAATGACTTTTCGAGTCATTCCCTCAAGAAGCCTATGGACTAGTATGCAGGAGCGATCTTAATATCTTAAATATCTTAATTTGTGTTGCGAAGATGAACGAAGGTCTTACGGGGTTGGAACAACATGAGGGCGAGTAAATACTGACACAATTTTCATTTTTGGGTGAACTAACCCTTTAAAAATTGGCAAGTGGCATCAGAATCGGTAATCGGCCAGGATAAATAATGATCGGTGCATCCCTAGTTTCTCCACCGTATTCCTGATGACCTTACTGCGTTTTTAAATTATGGGTGGCAGAATGTTTCAAGTGCAGGTATGAAATTTGATACACACATGTAGAGCCAGACTGATATTATCGGCCGATATTAGGCACTTTCCAAACTATCGGTATCGGCAGTTATAATGGCCGATAAATGAATATTTCAAAAATAAAATAAAAATGGACGAAACACGCTTGAACCATGTCATGAGTGTTGGGGTTGTATAGTTTGTCCACCAGAGGGCGCTCTACACCGTTCCTGTTGGCAACACTCGTTGAGTTGGTCACGATACATACAATTAAAAGAACATCCCCATCAGTTCTCTAAACTCAAATAAGCAGGACAAAAAATAAATAAATAAATAAAATATCGGCCGATATATCGGATTTTAAAACCCAAAAATATTTATATCGGTATCGGCCTTCAAAATCCTTTATCGGTCGGGCTAAACATGTAATGACCCAATAATACCTACAAAAAAGTCTCTGAAGATCTTGAGTTTTCGTCGAAGGGTGTACCCAATTTCAGCCTTTTGGTGATTTGTGCATGAATATGTCATATAGTTCAATATTGCTTGCAGTTCCGCATAATAATGTAATGGGGGAATATTTGTGAATGCCAAATATCCGATGTTACCACTAAAAAGTGTCCGACATTACTTTAAATTTTATATTACATTATTTTATTTTAAGTCAGTGAAAGCGTGCAAGCATATTCATCTACAATAACTCAGCTTCAGAATCATGAATATTGTTATTCTGGTGTCTGAGTCCAAGCCTATTCATTTAAACCAACAATGTAAGATAAAATTTAGCATTTTAATCAACAGTACCTTTTTTGTTAAACTTTTACCATATGTCTCGGAGTATCGCATTCGCAATATTATCGTATCGTGAGTTCAGTATCGTGATATGTATCGAATCGCAGACTGATCTCGTATTTCCATTTTTGGCGCGCTATCAAGACGCATAATCGTTTTTCAGCGTGTTTATGAACGCCGTTGACATAACGTTATATAAATATATGACTAACCTCAACCCCGTCCCTAAACCTAACCGTCACTGGGGTTAATGGCATTTATGACTGTTCGCTCACCATCTTAGGAAAAAAAACAGATAGCTCCCCAGATGTAGATCTACATTTTGCTTCGTTTCGCGCTGACATTTTAGAGACACGCGGAATCACTTGGACGTTAATGGCGTGAGTCATGTCAAAAGTCATGATGTCATGTTGCGAATCGTGACATGATGGTATCTTACGTCTTGCTGGAGTCTGTCGATGGCGTTGGTGATGTGCTCTTGTCCCGGCTGCTGGTAGTTTTCCACCATCCTCTCTTTCAGATCGGCTCTCAGCTCAGCGTTCAGCTGCAATCACAGAGAAATCCATCAGCTATATCTATGTAGCAAAGTCTGTTTTCATAGATGCAAAGTAAAGTCCCGTATGTTAAAGAAATCGAAATGATCTGTCATTATTTACTCACCCTCATGTCATTCCAAACTTCATGTTATTATTTTCCGGAATAATGTTAACACAGCCACGGAAAATATAACCGCATACTGGTTCGTATTGACATGAGGATGAGTGAATCACAGTCATTTTTTTATTTCTGAATGAACTATTGAAGTAGAAATCAAGCTAACTTCAGCTATTAATGAGTACGTTTTGTTTGTCTATGTACAGTAATTGTTTACCTGGTAGCAGAGAGGAAAACACTGGAGCAAGAGGAAGAAAAGGAGGAAGAAGACAGGCTTTTATAAAGATGGAAACGGAGGAAAGTGGATGGAAAGCATGCAAACATACAACACTCGGTATGTGTGTGTGGTTTTAATGTGAATCTGAGGAGAATATTCATGGCAATATTACAACCATGTTTATCAACTTGTTATTCACATGCATGGATAAAGATATGGCTGTTAAACGGACAGAAGAAGAGATCTTATTAACAGAATATGAGACAATTCACCCAAATTGAATTAATAGAAAAATAGCATTTATTCCTCATCCTAAGTGTGCGTTTACCTCCTGATAATAGACGTAAGCCAAGATTCCAGCTGTGATCTCCAAGAGGAAGATTATCAACAACAGGACACAGAACTGTAGGGACACAAAATGTTTCAATAATAAACGTATAGAGCCCAGTTTAGTCTGGATCAGAATCATCTGGATTTGGAAATCCCAGGTTTTGCTGTCCATTTTACTTTTGCGCTGATTCTTCAAAGCAAAATTGCATTGGATCACCCAAATCTGGAAATCCCCGTCGTGTTCACACGAGAAACTTTGTTTTCGCTCTCGCAACGACTGTTTGACTAAGTCATCTCTAATTTTTGGTATGTTTTATCTTACCTCAAGGGCATTAGTTTCAATCTTGATATTTTTAGGTTAAACCGTTGTTGTCCGTCAGTCATATAATGGAGGTCTATGGTCACCACCTCGAAGAGCATGCACAGAGAAGTCCAAATTAAACATGATTTAATGACTCGTAAATGGCCTAAGACACGAAACAAGCGGTTTGTGTGAGAAAACGAACAGTATTTATATCGTTTTTACCTCTTGTAACCACAGCCACGTCCAACTGATTTCTGAGCATTCATAAGCGTTGCTCTTCACTGTGACGATCTAAACATGTTTAGATTTACAGGAAATCAAAGACCACAGACCGAAGCGCCCGTGCCTTCAGAGTAGCTACTTGGATGTGTCTGTGATAACACGAGGTAAAAACGATATAAATACTGTTGGTTTTCTCACACAAACCGCTCGTTTCGTGTCTTAGGCCATCTTACATTTACGAGTCATTAAATCATGTTTAATCTGGACTTCTCTGCGCATGCTCTTTGAGGTGGTGACCATAGACCTCCATTATATGACTGACAGACAAGAACACTTTGACCTAAAAATATCAAAATTGAAACTACTGCGGAAACAAAGACTCCTACATCTTGGATGCCCTTGAGGTAAGATAAAACACACCAAAAATGTAATTTCAAAGTGAACTATCCCTTTAAATATATGTATGTTTGATACACAGCTGATAGTGGATCATTTTATTTTTAGCACCACATTTTATTTTGACTTCACTGAAGGCTACCTAAAGGCTTAATTTACGTCTAATGTATTACTTGAAGAGTTTAACTAATCAGGAGAAAATTAAAAAATAATGTGTGTTTATATGATACAGTTTAAAATGTTATCACATTTTTGTTCGGCTGGGATCAGGATAATCCCGATTTTTTTTTTCTTCTTTTGGATCAAAGGTATCCCGATCTTACTAAACAGTTTTGAACAAACAAACTGATTATTTAATCCAAATCAAACCAAGATTGGATTTTTTACAACACATTTATAGGATTTGATAAGTGAAATCCAGTCAGATTACTTCTGAACAACTAAAGTAAAGTAAATAATGACAGAATTGAAATATGTGCATGATTGTTCTTTCAAGAACCTCGTCTATCAGCTGTTGAAAAAGTGAAGAAATGGCATCTGAGGAGTTTTACGAAGGCTAGGCTATAGGTCAAAAGCAGTATTATTTTCTCCGTTTTGTGTCGTCCCCCAGCCCACCGCTCTCATTTCATCCCTCACTCCCTTCTCATTCCTCTCTGCCCGTCATTCCTCAGCCCTGACTCAGTTTCTAAGTCTGACCTGTTAAAGATACACACACGACACGTCTTTATTTAAATCCGATTCGATGACAGCTTTGAGACAACTAAGTTTAAAGGACACACAATCAAGCTAATTTAGAAAGTTCGTGCACATGTTAGTGAGGCTGCTTGTTTCCAGAATAACCCCTGGCCTCCAAGCGTCTAAATCTGCCTGCTATAATCCGATGTTTACATTTACTCAAAGTATTTCACTCAAAGTAAAGTCTGGCGGAGGTTTTTGTGCTGAATCATGTCACGGCTGAACACAGATGATTCAGCTAACATTTTCCAGACGGTTTTATAAGGTGAGGCCCTACAAGCCTTGCTTTCTTCCTATGTTAAAATGACCTGTTGGTTGTGTTTCTTAGGACAAGCTACAATGTTATCAGACTTTAGTTGTGTCCCATATGCACTTAAACACTGTACGTATGCACTATGAAGCTACTGTGCTGCTCGCGTCAATGACCGTCATTCGTTTGTTACACTTTAATTTAAGGTGACGTTACATTGTACTTACTCGAATAAGTACTGGGTAATAATTAACTACATGTACTTACTATACGGTATGGTTTAAGGTTGGTTGTCATTATGCATAATTTACTGTTTATTACTATTCAATCAATCAATCAAATTTTCTTTATTCAGTCATGATGTTATTATAGACACAACAATAATCTCCACTACAACAAAATAATAACATTCATTACTGAATAGGAGCATAAAGAAGACATAGTCTTATAAATTAATGCCCCTTTTTTCAATTATCTAACCTTATACAAAACAGATGGCTCGCCATTATTTATTTTTTTTCTTCCGTTCCCCTTCCTTTCTATATATATATATATATATATATATACATACACACATATATATACATATATATATATTTCTTCAGTATTATTTCACATCTCAGCAATTAACAATTACCAATTTAGAAAAAAACAAAAAACAACAACAAAAAAATAAAACATTGTTTCTTATGCTTCATTTCCTTCGTATTTTTCAAGTACATATTTTTTGTACATTTTATTGAATTGAACAATCGAGTTACATGATTTTTGACCTCTATCCAAAGAGTTCCATAAACTAATCCCAGTTACAAGGAACCCCTTTTGTTTTTTTGAGGTACGTGAATATGGTACACTAAAATTGCCTTTTCTTCTGTTGTTATTGTCTGTGATTAACATGAATTTGTTTTTAATATGTGTTTAAAAATATTGTAAGTATGTGTAGTAACGTGTATGTCACCTTAATATAAAAGGTTATTTTTTTTAAATGAAATTAATGTACTCTGTTTTTTTATGCAATATTTTGAGTTTTTAGGGAATTTTATGGTACTAAATTATATTTATGGAAGAGGTATTATTCATTTATTACCTATTTTTTGAGCATGGATCAGAAAATGTAATATCTAAACCTAATGCTTTGGAGCACACACTTAATTTTGGTCTATTTTAAAGAAGACACTTTATTGCTGAGGTGGAACAAGTTAAACTAAAATAAGTTATAGAAAAAAAGCATTAAACTTTGCATTGCTTAAAATTTGCATTAAACAACTATCGTGAAATTTTTTATGAAATATGTTTTTTTCAAAATATGATTTACTCTAAAATTGAGAAAATCAAAGCCAGGAATCCAAACAAGTTGTGTTCCAAATTTATGGTTGATATCTCAAAAAATGAGCTTTCATTAATATTTTGTTTGTGCGCAGTACCAAACACGTCCACTAGATTTTTTTTTTTTTTTTCACATTTTGGGTCAAAAAATGACCAAACAGCACCAGAGGGTTAAGTGCATCATCCGAACATTTAAAGTATACTTTTTTTTATCTGTCATTTTCAGTGTGAATTTTACATTCGTATTCGTCATTCGGTGGCTCTGAATTGTCAAAACACCACTTGCTACGGATGCAAAAACTTCGAAAATTGAACCCCATCCGAATTTTTTTATGACGGACGAAAGTTTCGGAGGCAGTGTGTAAGCGTGATTGACACAACGTAAAGTCGTATTTATTTTTTAACACGCAAAAATTTCGGACGAGAATTTCAGACCTTTAGTGTGCGGATTTGGACTCGCCAACAAACCACTAATTATAAATATGAAACTTTCACACGTAACTCATCCTGCACTGTTCGAATCGCGATCGTGAGTGTTTGCGTTACCCATGATGCTCTCTCACCACTAAAAGAAGAGCTCTTTGTTCCCTGATGGTGGCGCAGCATCCCAGTATCCCGGTGAACATGACGACGGCGCCCGCACCAATCAGGATGAAGGCAGCGATCATGTAGGAGCTGGAGGACAGAAGGCTGATGTAGTCGCTTTTATCCACCAGAGTCCATATTCCCACTGCCATCACAGCGCCACCTGCCAACTGGGAGGACATTTGCAATTGTCTGCGCAGTAAATCTGGCCTAGTTACAGATTCAGATGTTATTTATTTTCTGTAGAATTTGCGTCAAAATGGTTGGAATTTCCACTACAAAATACACATTTAGCCTGTCAAGAAAAAAAAATAAATAAACTAACGCATAATAAAAACATAACTCACCCAAAAGAGAAGATTGAAGATGAACAGAAGGTATTTAAGGCATATTGTCCCACAGCTATTGTTTTTTTCCTCTGCTTCTGCCATCCTGAAACAGTGAGAGATTTTACAAACCCTTTCAACTTGACGGGTCTGAGTAAAATCCAGCTTCACATCCCCCGGTCTTTATCTGTTACAGGACGGACCCATGATAGCACTGACAGACAGAGTGAATTACGGTGATTGGGTGAAGAACACATTCAGAGAATGTTTCATCCCAAAATCATATGAAAGAAATAAGAAATTATCATTTGATAAATAAAAATGAAAAAAACAACAACAAAAAAAAACGCTTAACTAATGAGTTTCATTATTGACTATAATCTATTTGAATATATATTATAATGTGATCATGAATTTTCAGCATCATTACTCCAGTTTTCAGTGAAGATCCTTCAGAAATCACTCTAATATGAGGATTTGCTGCTGAATACATTTTTATTATCAAGTAGAATTTATGATTATTATCAATGTTGCGTAATATTACTGTGGAAACCATGATAGCTACTTTATTCTTCTTCAGGATTCTTTGATGAATAGAAAGTTAGAAAGAATAGCATTGATTTAAAAAAAATAATAAAAAAGATTTGTAACATTTATATAAATGTAACTTTTGATTTCACTTTAATTAAATTTTTAATTTTTAATTCATAATTAAATTTATTAGTGTATTCATACGACCTTGAATAGGTAGCAAATCATTGATCGTTTCTAAAAACTTTCTAAATGATAAATAAATAAATGTGTGCAGTAAAGTTCAGACGGACGAGGAGACGCTGGGTGTGGATCCGGGAAACTGAGCTCCACTAGTGACTCACAGAGAGAGGGAGACACACTTTTACTACTGTAACCTCACCCAGACAGCGTGTGTGTGTGTGTGTGTGTGTGTGTGTGAGTAACACAGGTCGGGAAACAGACGCCACTCGTCCTCGGATGAGCTCAGGGTTGTTGTTGCACTGACATGCTGACAGGAAATAAGTAGTGAATAATATTTAAACTGGATTATTTTATTTAGGTAATGAGGAGTTCTTGATGAGCCCTTTGTAATTGATCCATAAGTGCTAAAAAAATAACATTTTTTGAATTTAAATATTTTCTGCATGCTTAAACCTACAGTACATGTAACTTTTTTTTTAAAACTGTTTTAATTTTTTCACTTAATAAGATGCTTAAACATGCAGTATTATATAAATTTATTTTGGCCAGCCAAATAATAATAATTAAAGTGTATTTACAAAGTGTAAAAGTTTTTTTTAATGATTTTTTTTAATTGTAATTGATCCATAATTGCTAAAAACAATATAATAATACAATAATATAATGTATTTTAAAAATTCAAATTTTTCTTTGAACTTCCTAGTACAATATAATATGGTAACCAAATGTGTCTGAATAGAGAGTCTGGTCATATATTGTGTATTTTTCAAAGCATCATCTGAGTCGCATACTGAATTGAGTTCATTTTAAATCTGACACACCTCACCATCTGAAGAATCTGAGGAATTTATTACAGATCCTGTTACCTGCAACTGAACATGTATCAAAATACAAGAATATATAAAGTGCAGCTTTAAGTTTAACAATAATTATTTTTTAAGTTTCTAAAGCATTTAAAGAAAAGCAAAAGTCTTCAATAGGACAATGTCAAATAACAGTAGCCTACTTAGGTTAAAATCGCAGTTGCAGAATAAATATATAACTCATAAATCACGCCATAATACAAATACTTCCCATTTATGACCAAATAGTCATATTTCACGGTAAGATTTCAAAAGCATAATAAAAGTACTCGTGCTTAGAATAACGCGCTCACCTGAAGGACGTGTTTAAATCCCTCTCCCTGCTTTAGATCTTGATTTTAAAACTATGTTTGAGAGTCCGCTTTTACTCCAGGGGTCTGCGTCCTTCTGTCCGTATCTGTTGCGCTGCTCGCCTCGCGCATGCGCAGAGAGTTCAGCCACACTGCGCACTGCAGTAATACCACAACACGCCAAGAGAGGGCGACACAGGACACGTGACAAAAATAAGTTCTTTATATATGTTCATAGAAAACTGTTAATGTACACATAACATTTCATTTTGTGTTCCCAAAAATGTTAATATGACATTTATTGCCCATACCCACAATACTAACAATTATTATAAAAATACATACATATGCAATTTTGTGTAACAGATTGCCAACTGGAGTGAGTAGTAATGTTCAAATAATCATATCACTGTTCCCGATAGTGTTTTCAATCCTTTTACAGGTTCATATCTTGCTGAAAATGTTTGTTTTTTTATTCAGAGATAGACGATGTAGCTTATGAATACGTTGTTTCGTAGGCTGAGCGTCCAGTCACGTGACGTGACTAATATTTCATAAGTCAAGTACTCGCTCCAACAGCCCACACAGAAGTGTTAACTAGTTTCTTGTTATTTGATGCAAAGATAATATAATACTAAGTATAGTGTTATAAATTTACATACTTTTTAAAAATAATTTTTAATGAAAAATAAAAAAAAAACTCGAGATTTACGATGCTGAGTAACGCGTCATCACAGCCCGTGAAAAAGGTCCATTCCTGAAAGACTGAAGGAACTTAATCTGGATTAAAAGACTTAAGTACTCTGCGTATTATTGTATTATGTTATGACAATGACGATATTTGCTGTTAATGTTTTTTTCCCCCCGTTTCTTTCTTCAAGCATTTAATAAATAAAAGAAAAAGGTCCATAGTTGCGCTCCGGTTATTTGCAGCAGCGCCCTCTGTTGGCAGAGATGTCCAGTCGGAGCGCAGACTCACACTGCTTGTCCTGCTGTGAGGCAAGTAACCTGAGACACGCAGACAGGATTAAATTATTATTATTATGATTTTATTGAATTGGAAAATACGTCACTTGTGATCACATCATTTGAAATAGCGCTTTAATCCAGTTTCACACCTGGTTAGGTGGTTCATAGCTTCTTCCACCTGGTGGCCACTCTTAGCACTGCATTCATAGAACTCAGCCTGGTACTGCTGCCAACACAAACAACATCAAAACTCCTTATACACGCAATGACTCAGGCAAGTGACTGAGAGGGATCGTTCCTCACCTCCGCCAGTCTGTGGCCTTGTGCACCAGTCACCTCTCTCCTGTCTGCGCTCGCCAGGTCTGTCTTATTGCCTAGCAACATCAGACACGCCCCCTCAGACTGCTTTTCCTGCCAGTCACACACACACACACACACAGAATGATACACAGCTAATCCCATAAACCAATCACAGTAACACACACACACAGTCATCATAACCAGATTACATCACATGCTAAATACACTCTCTTTCTAATTTCACAATCAAAGTCACACACTGACGTGTATGCAAAGCAGCACAAGCACACCTACTGCCATACTGTATTATACAACCAGCCTAGGCAAATCTTACCCTAGATTCAAATTTATATTTGACCTGTTTGGAGATGAAAAGTAGGATATTCAACGTAACAATCTGACTATCCTCACCAGCACCTGATCCAACCAATGGCGGACCGCCGTGAATGACGTCTCATGGGTGACATCATACATAGCGATGATCCCATCCGCCCGGCGGAAATACTGCTGTGTGACGCTGTGGAACCTGATGAAGGCCAAAGGCAGGTGTTATTATCCACACACACACACACACACTCAATAATATCCCCAAAGTAGCCCAGTGACTAAACTCCAAATATGCCACTCTAATACCTAAAATACCTTTATACAAGAATACATTTTACAGTTACTCCATGCGTTATATATGGAGGTCCATTTCATTTCCACCAATCTTAATTATGAGATTAAAAAAGTCATAATTTCAACATAAAAAGTCAAATGAATACTAAATTAATTATGAATACGGAGTAATAATTTTGACTTTTTGTCATCATCACGACAGTTACAATTATGAGAAAGTCGAAATTACGACGTTAAGACAATAAAGTTGACTTTTAAAGTCATAATTTTGACTTTTTTTATGTAATTTCTTTTAATATCATAACTGACTTGTCATAATTTGTCTTTTCATCTTATATTAATTACTTAGTATGTCATAGTTAAGAATTTTCATCTCAATTCTGATCTTCAAAAGCATGATTTTTTTTCTTATGTGGTGGAAATAGGCTTCGATAAACATTTTCAAGTTGAAAATCACTAGTATTAATTATAATATATACTACATGGTAGAAATAATATTGTATATATATATTAAATAGCTGTATATGTACTAATCATAAACACAGTATGTTTTCACAAAGGAGCTCAATGGCAGAATATTAAATAATTCAGTATGAATATTTCAGTCCAATTTTATTTATGCAAATACATGTCAACCGTTAACCAGAGGGTTATTTTTATTTATATTTTCCAATAATAACCTGTGGTAACAGTTGGTAGAGGTTCAGCGCAGAAGCCCATTTTAAAAAGAAACATTTTAGCTTCTTTAAATCACTGTGTTGTTTCTGTAAAGCTATTTTTGGGACATCTGACCTCTCCTGTCCGGCGGTGTCCCACAGCTGCAGCGCGACTGGTGTGGAATCAAGCATTACACTCCTGACCTGAAAATCCACTCCTGTCAATCAACACCACATGGCTTGTCAACACATACAAGGCATTAACATTTAGGCCCTCTTTACAGCTGGTATTAAAGGGGTGGTATAATGCCCTTTTACAAGATGTTAAATAAGTCTCTAATGTCCCCAGAGTGTGTATGTGAAGTTTTAGCTCAAAATACCCCAAAGATATTTTTATATACCATGTTAAAGTTGTCAGTTTTTGAGGGTTAGCAAAACCGCACCGTTTTGTGTCTGGCCCTTTAAATGCAAATGAGCTGCAGCTCCCGGCACAGTGGGCGGAGCTTCAAGAGTGCAGCTCCGATTACCTCACGCAGACACACGCTAAAATGTCAGAAACTGTTCGTCCTTCAAACCGGAGTCAGGCGAAGATGGAGAGACTAAGAAGACGTGACAACATGTAGAATGCAACATGACGTCTCTGAATGGTTAGTTGATTAATTTATGTTGCTGATGTCTTCAATGGACTAGTTGCACCACAACGGAAATGGAATTTCCGGTTTGTCTGTGGTGGGCTGAAAGACACTTCCGGTCACTTCTTCCGTCAATGGCACTCGCTTACTTAACCGACCGTTCAGCGTAGTGTAAAAGAAAAACACGAATGTTTTCGGTATTAAAACGGGTGTTGTACCGAATTCCGATTCGCGGACAAATCGCACGCGCCTTCGCGTGCGCGCGCCTCTCATTGTCTCACATAAATACACGCTGAAGCGAGTTTGAAAACTTTGAATGCACTTCCTTTGCCATATGCGTTTATCGATTGATTTTTTTCTCACAGCAAGCACCCAGATCCTGCATGAAAGCTTTGTCTACACTTACAAAAAAATAACAGACAGTGAACTAGTGTGGATAAAAGATGCAAACAAACAAAAACGCATGGGAGATCGATTCAAACGTAAAACTTCGACGGGTAAAGCCCATTATAAAGCTACCAGCTGTCAAAACATTACTGTTAATTTGACATAATTTAACCGAATGTAACTTTTGTGTGTTAAAAACGACGTGGTTCATAGGAAAATATTGTATTACTCTCCCCATCGCACATGAATGTCATTAAAAATAATAATATTTAACTTTGTTCATGAAGATAGGCTTATAAACAAATTATTATGCATGCACCGAATCTTTATTTTTTGAAACATTGCAGCAGTTTTTCTTCAAAAAAAGGGCACCTGAACACAAAACAATTGCTCCAGCTATTTTCATTATATTTCCATAAGCAATGCAGCTAGATTTTTTTTTTTTTGTTCTGTTCTAATGTTTTCAGCGGGTAGTTTTGTTTTTTCCCCCAAAAGAACATTGTATAATCTGTTATCTCAACAACATTCCCAAAACATCCTCAAAATATTACAGTTAAAACATCCTTAAAACATTATTTGAACATTACATTTAAATGTTTTCTTTAAAACAGTACCTTGTATGGCTTTACACAAGTTTAAACCAAACTTGTAGGGAATGTTAGCAGAGTTCTGAGAACGTCTCCTGCTAGGAAGCAAAATGTGCAATTGAAAGAATAAATTAAATAAATAATGTTTTTTTTGTGGCCCTAATGTGCCAGAAAATAACTATATATTTTTAAAAAAGCGAGTCGGAATTCAGTACAACACCTGTTTTAATACCAGAAAGACTTATGTTTTTCTTTTACACTACGCTGAACGGTCGGTTAAGTAAGCGAGTGCCATTGACGAAAGCAGTGACCGGAAGTGTTCCAGCCCACACGGTTCAAGGTCCAAATGAGAGTTTCAGTGCAGCTTCAAAGGGCTTTAAACGACACCAGACGATGAATAAGGGTCTTATCAAGGACCCTGACCCTTCGAGTCGTGACTCGAAAAAAGATTCGTTCATTTTGATGAACGAGTTCGAACAGGAGAGTCACGAACGCGCATCACAGAACAGAGCAAGGCGAGCATGTGAGCTTATAAAACTTAAACTTTGTTATTTATTTATTAAATGAGCGATCGTTACGCTTGATAAGACCCTTATTCATCGTCTGGTGTCGTTTAAAGCCCTTTGAAGCTGCACTGAAACACTCATTTGGACCTTGAACCGTTTGGACCCCATTGAAGTCCATTATATGGAGAAAATCCTGGAATGTTTTCATCAAAAACCTTCATTTCTTTTCGACTGAAGAATCTTGGATGACACGGGGGTGAGTAAATTATCAGCAAAAGTTTTTTTTAAAAGTGAACTACTCCTTTAATACCAGTTGTAAACAGCGCCTAAGAGAAAGCATAATCAGGCATAAATCTCTCACCCACAGTTGAGGCCATGTTGTTGGGGAAGTGACCGCTGCAATACTGATGGATGAACGAGCTCTTTCCCACAGAAGAGTTTCCTAAAAACACCACCTTAAACACACGCTGCGTATCACCGCTCGCTCTCTGGAGGAGGAGGAGGATGAGGAAGAAGAACGCTTTTACTGGAAGGTCCGTTGCCACATATTTATATTGGTTATTAATATTTGATTTACTGTTAAGATCAAGAATGAATGAACATGCAAATATCCGAGGCTCATTTGCACACTCACATACACAGAAATACGCAATCTTTTTTTTTTTTTTTTTCACCAAAAACAAACGAGTACCGCAGATTTCTCCGATTGGCTGGTAGTTTCGTCTTCTCTCTGTTCGGCTTTAGAGAATCTCTTCGGACTTGAATCTGTTAGCGATGTGTCTGAATCCTCCGACTCGTCACTGGAGTTTTCCATCAGCTGCCTTTAATTCACATTGATCAAGATTATTGAAAATGCAAAAGCATAGGAATAATTAAAATAACACATTTGAATCGGTGCTTAAAAAGCTCAAATCTGCTAATAATTGGTCCAGATGGTAAACTATTGTATCTGGTGTGTGTGAGATTTTTATGATCTTGTGAACAAATGCTAAATTATTTTTATGCAGCATTGGTAAAAAACAGTATGCAACAAAATAATTTGATGTCACTAATCACCAAGGATTGCAATTGAAGTGTACATTTGTACTTCTAGCATTATATTTAAA